GCCCGAGGCAGAGTTGCTCTGCCCCGGGCTTCCTGGAATCAGCCGCTGATCAGTTTCAGCAGCAGCTGACTTGGGGACGCCTGGGGTTCTTAAGTTCAATCTGTATGTAAGTTGGAACTGGCGTCCAGATTCAGCTTGTTGAAACTGATCAGAGGCTGATTCCAGGAAGCCCGGGGCAGAGCAACTCTGCCTGCAGCTTCCTGTAGTCAGCCGCTGGTCAGTTTCAGCAGCGGCTGAATCTGGACGCCACTTCCGACTTAAGTACAAATTCAACTTAAGAACAAACCTACAGTCCCCCGGAACCAGGGAGACGCGGAGCAAAGCCGTGGAGAACCCGGGTGGCGAGATCACGGCGCGTCTCCCTGGTCCCGCCGCCCGCGTTCTCCGGGGCGAGAAAAGCCCCATTCGTAAGTACGGATCCAACATAAGTTGGATCCTCGTAACCCGGGGACTGCCTGTAGTACCCACTCACTGCTCTAACAAATACTTGGGACATTTTAAAGTTTGTAGATGCAGCCACCAAACACCACATGATGCATTAAATAACCCTACCTGGACACAATGTTTGTACCACGCTATCAAAAACAAAACACAGAATTTCTTTTTCTGATATCAATAAAGACCAGTCACTTCATATACTTCAGTTACACTTCTTGTGGTTTAATATAATACTGAAGTTTATCACAAAGCAACTTTCATCTCACAGAACAGCAGTGTAATCTGTTTCCAGTATTCATCAGGAAAAAACAGGACCAGTATCCTGTAATCTGTCCATAAGTACATCCGTCCGCCTGTGAGTCCATTTAAGAACTCCTCCTAAACGGTAACAGCTAGGACCACCAAATTTGGTATGCAACATCCTCTTATCCTAACTTATTAATGCAAGGTCAGGTGTTGGCTGTCCCAGGAAAATGAGATATACCTGGAATTAGATTGTTTTCCATAACATGGAAAAAGGAGGGGTCTGGAAGAAAAGACAGTTATGATCTGCAATGACCACTAGGAGCAGAGAACACAGGGGACAGCTATACTGCATGCCCCCAAGGTTCCCCCCCCCACCGGTCGCAGTGCCGGATTGCGGGTGGGGAAGCCCTGCTCGCCCCCCACCCTAAGAAACCACAGGGCAACGCAGCTCCGGCCTACTGGGAGGAGATGTCATCAGAGCAGCACCATGCTCGCTGTCATGGGTGGCTGCGGCGAGCTCCCCTCCCAAACCTCCTAAGCCCCTGGCCTGAGCCTCCCCTGCCCTGACTCCTACACCCCCCACATCTACAGTCCCTTGCCCTGAAGGGCCCAAGCAACGCAAGATAAATCCTCTAGTTACAAGATAATTTCAACTCAGGACATTTGGTGAAAAAGATATTGACCTTTCCAGCCTGAACTTCTGCCTGGATCTCCTTCAGTGCTGCCAGTTGCCCTTGCAGAACCTTAATCTCCTCTTTTTTCTGTTTTTCTGCTTCTTCTGTGGCTGCCTTTTTCTGTGCCTGTTAAGAAATACTCTCTCAGTTACCGTGGTTTTGTAATACTCTCTCATACAAGGAAGGATGCTAAACACCATTTAATCAAGTATATAACATTGTTTTCTTACTGAATGTAAAACAACTGGTCTATTACAATATAAAAAAGGACCTTCTATCCTAATTTTAAATAAATTCATTGTGATTTAGATGTTTTTGTCATGATGGAAACTGACAGATGAATAATTTAACATATCTTCCCTTCATCCGTGTCACAGAATGACCATTCTACTACTGACACCTAGATTTTTATTACGGACGTGAAAATACTATTACTGTTTCAGAAATATAATTAGGGATTAAACATGAAAAAAGTACAATCATAACAGTGATTTAGTATAAACTGATTAACATGTTAAAGTTAGTGCTAGTCTTTTTTACTATGGAATCAAGATATTTACAATTACAAAATTTGCTATAAATGTTTTAATAAATCATTTTATGATCAGTGCAGCTACAAATTCAATATGGTACAGTATCTTACTATAACTGCACACTTTCCACAGTTTTATTACTTACTCTAAGCTCAGCCTCAGTAAGTCTGCCATCTATTTTAGTAAATCCATCAAAGAGTGTTTTATAGAGAACATTCTTGCGTGTATTGGCATCATCTGGAGGAAGATAGTCCAGTATAACAGTCTGGTGCTGCCTGTACATGTCGAAGATAATCCGTAATGCGGAATCGCGTACCTCATATACTCTGTGCTCCAATGCCCCTGTCGCAAACTGAAAATATATTGGTTAAAAGGGTTATTCTAATTTAATCTGGCCTGGAATAGTTTTATTACATTTGGGGGAAAACAAAGGCAGCTTTAAACCACCTTTGCTTGCTCCATTTCCACTGTACCGAGCCTAGCTCAGTCAGATCAAAGGATCTGTTCCCTTAATCTGGAGGGATTGCTCACCTCACTGGGAGCATTGTGATTGCTTAGACAGACAGACATGTTTCTCCAACCAAATATCCTGTATAGGGCTTTTTTTTTTTTTTTTTTTGGTAATTATGGATCTTCACAAGGTTGTCTAATTCTGCCTAAAGAAGCTCATTGGTCCTCATTAATTGGTGAATGTGGCTGGCACTCCAACACAGATAAACTAACAATCAACCAAGAAAGAGAGACTTAACATACTGTAGAATCCTCCTACCTTCATGACGTTGTCAATAGTAAAACCAGAATTTTCTGTTCCCAGGTCTTTCAACAGGCGTTCCACCAAGTCCACCTGACTCATTGCCAAATGAGTAGGGGAATTTGGTTTCAATGGCTGGACCAGATGAACAGGGATCATTTGAAGAGGTTTAACTTCATTGCAGAGTTAACATGCACAGGAAAATTTTGAAACACGGGATGAAATTGTATGCAAAGCTAAATGTTATTCAAGACATCATAACCAAGAATAATTTGTGTTAGTTACAATCAGATGAGACTGTAAGGCAGATGACCATTCACTACTTCAACAAACTCACCTGTATACAGCATACACAGAGAAGAAAAAAGTGTTAGTCTTGTTATTGACAACAGATTTATTGACAGAGAACATGCACTGATTGCACCTACTGAGAAGTATTATTTCTCTGAGAGCTCTCACCTGAACAAGACCTGCAGAATAAAGGGTTTTGTTGTTGTTTTAAATAACTGAAATGAAGAGAAAGAATTTCCTAGAGCAAATCTGATGATGATGCCTCAAGACTGATCTTAGAAAAGTGCTTTAGCAGAGGAAATCTACACAACATATTTTATTGATCTACTGAGGAAACAGCCTCATAGTTGAACTCTGTTGTCATAAGATGCTTGCTGTTTGGTCCTTTCAATGCTAGACAGCACCTATTCTAGCAAAACTGGTAATTTTAACATAGAAAAACACAACTACTGTCATTTCACGTTTTAATTATTAGGCTAGATTCTAATTTCAATGACAAGAACATAAACCTGCATCTGACGAAGTGGGTCTTTGCCCACGAAAGCTTATGCTCCAATACATCTGTTAATCTATAAGGGTATGTCTACACTGCCACCCTAGTTCGAACTAGGGTGGCTAATGTAGGCATTCGAAGTTGCAAATGAAGCCCGGGATTTAAATATCCCGGGCTTCATTTGCATCTTGCTGGGCGCTGCCATTTTTAAATCCTCCTTAGTGCGGACTCTGTGCCCGCGGCTACACGCGGCACGGAGTAGGTAGTTCGAATTAGGCTCTCCACGAAGAGTAACAGTAGTTTGAATTAGAGAGCCTAATTCGAACTACCTACTCCGTGCCGCGTGTAGCCGCGGGCACAGAGTCCGCACTAAGGAGGATTTAAAAATGGCAGCGCCCAGCAAGATGCAAATGAAGCCCGGGATATTTAAATCCCGGGCTTCATTTGCAACTTCGAATGCCTACATTAGCCACCCTAGTTCGAACTAGGGTGGCAGTGTAGACATACCCTTATAGATTAACAGATGTATTGGAGCATCCTGGATTACCGTAATTTAGCGCATGTGTATTACCCGCTCCTGTGCACAATCCATGGTTTTTCCTGACTGTGTAAAAAAAGTCTTAGATAACCCGCGCACGTGTATAGCCCATGGGAGATGAACCGTGGGTACTGTTAATGAATAGCACCTGTAATGAAGTGTTAATGAACTGCAGCTGATGACGCTGAGCAGTAAGTATGCTACAACTCTTATTGCTGGTCTATAACCCCTTTGAACCACACCATTTTACCATTTATTTATTCCTTTAGTAGTTTTAACTTGTATTAATTTTTAAAACATATTTAAAATATGCTGCTTTTATCAAGTAAGAGTCAGTCTTGTCTTCCTGTAATTTCAGTAAAAAAAAAAAAAAAACTTGTATAACATGCAGATGAGTATAGCCCACGGGAAGGGAGAGGGGGGGCGGGGATTGTAAAACCTTGCATAACCCATGGGTTACATATGCTAAAAGAGGGTAAATCCACCATCTTCTGATCTAGGAAGTAGCATAATAAATCAGATTATTACCCATCAAGTAAATTCAATAAATAAATCCAGGATTTCTCCCCTGTGAAAAAATATCACTATGCTTGAATCAAGAGTTATTCCTTCCATTAATGAACCCTTCAAAGGTAGAAGTGCCTTATCGACTAATCAAATAATCAATGCAAAATACATGAACTATTCGATTAGTCAATATTTATCATCCAGAAACTACACAAATAAAATGATGGGGACTAATTTAGCTATAACCATTTGAGAGAGATCTTGGAGTCATTGTGGATAGTTCTCTTAAAACATCCACTCAATGTGCAACAGCAGTCAAAAAAGCAAACAATGTTAGGAATCATTTAAAAAGGGTTAGAGAATAAGACAGAGAACATCTTATTGCTTCTATATAAAACCATTGTATACCCACATCTTACATAATATGTACAGATGTGGTCACCTCATCGCAAAAAAGATATATTAGCATTGGAAAATGTCCAAAAGAAGGAAACAAAAATGATCATCGATTTGGAATGGGTGCCATATGAAGAGATTAAAAAGACTAGGACTTTTCATCTGAGTTTCCTCTTTTCTAAGTGGAGATATGATAGAGGTCTATAAAATCATGACAGGTTTGGAGAAAGTGAATAAGGAAGAAGCTATTTACTTGTTCCCATAACATAAGAACTAGGGGTCACCAAATAAAATTAATAGGTAGTAGATTTAAACCAAACAAAAGGAAGTTTTTCTTTACACAGCACACAGAGGATGTTGTGAAGACCAGGACTTTAACAGGATTCAAAAAAGAACTAGATAAATTCATGAAAGTTTGGTCAGTCAATGGCTATTAACCAAGATGGGTAGGGATGGTGTCTCTAGTCTCTGTTTGTCAGGGGCTGGAAATGGATGACAGGAGAGAGATCACTTGATTATTACCTGTTTCTGTTAGGCTACGTCTACACTGGCCCCTTTTCCGGAAGGGGCATGTAAATTTCACGAGTTGTCGTAGGGAAATCCACGGAGGATTTAAATATCCCCCGCGGCATTTAAATAAAAATGTCCGCCGCTTTTTTCCGGCTTTTAAAAAAGCCGGAAAAGAGCGTCTAGACTGGCCCCGATCCTCCGGAAAAAGGGCAGAATTCCGGAGGATCGGGGCCAGTCTAGACGCTCTTTTCCGGCTTTTTTAAAAGCCGGAAGTAGGAATAAGAGCCTCCGGAAAAGGGCGCTTTTTCCGGAGGATCGGGGCCAGTGTAGACGCTCTTTTCCGGCTTTTTTAAAAGCCGGAAAAAAGCGGCGGACATTTTTATTTAAATGCCGCGGGGGATATTTAAATCCCCCGCGGATTTCCCTACGACGACTCGTGAAATTTACATGCCCCTTCCGGAAAAGGGGTCAGTGTAGACGTAGCCCCTATGTTCTCTGGGGCACCTGGCATTGGCCACTGTTGGAAGACAGGATACTGGGCTAGATGGACCTTTGGTCTGACCCCATTTGGCCATTCTTATGTTCTTAAATTTCAAGTAACATTTGTAATTTGATAAACTTAAAAAGCAACACATAGTCTGATAGCATGAAAGCTCATGATATCATCTACATGTTTTGCTAGTCTTTAAAGTGCTACCAGACTATTTGTTGTTTTTTAAGTCTATCCTGTACAGACTAACTAAGCTACCCCCTGAAGCATTTGTAATTTGGTTCACTGGTCAGTTTAGTGCCAAGCGTCATTCATGTCTTCAACACAAACGGCATACAATTTAATGTGTAACTAAAATTTGCTGAAGGTCACTAACTAAAGTATGTTTTGGTGAAGGTTTCCTAACTTGTCTAAGGAGCTGCCAACAATAAGTAGATTAAAAGAAACATGTAAGTCAGCTGTGACACTGGAAGTACAGAAGCACAGACACCAGGCCACGATGCTCTGAGGCCAGGTAGTATTCACTTCACCCTGTTCTCTTGTAAGCAAACCTGACAAAAGGCAGGGAGGGAACCAAGAAAGAGCCAGACATTACTTCAGGCAGGTTGTATACAAAGAGGAATCTGTTTTGACAGGTTTATTGCAACACAGCTCAGACCATGAGCCACTACTGGTCTTGCCAGGACAACTGACTGAATATTGGTTGCCAGTGTCTAGGAAAAAGAGATAAGCAGCTGACAGGGGAAAGTGAGAATGGGATGCAACTTGCTACCTGGATCAAAAGAATATGCAGTGAATGCACATGGAGGAAGAACACTGAACTGCAAGCCACCCACTGCACAGGATAATTTAAGGTTTGTTTTCAACCTTTCATGTGCAGGGTTTATGTGGGACCCATGTGCCAAAGGGATAAGTGGTGGCAATAGTAACATAAGAGAAGCTGCTTCTTTCATAAATTGGTTTGCTTTTAAATTATGATGAAGCAAGGCTTCATTTGAAATTCAGTTCATACTAGAAGATTTACCTGACGTTGCAAGGGTGCTTCAGGGCAAGGGTTTGGGGATGTGGGTGGCTCAGAGCAAAGGGTTGCAGGAGTCAGGGTTGTGGGGTGCAGGACTAGGGACATAAAATCCTGTTTAATTGGTAAGCCAATTAAAGGGGGCACAGGTGTGGGGGCAGAGACATATACACAAACTCTCTCAAATATATCATAGATAAGCATTTACTACTGAAGTCAGAGGCAAACCTGATGGAAAAAGGTATTGAGTATATAAAGGAAAAGGGCTGAATGACCATCTTTTATACCTCCTGTAGGAAAATGATATAAAATTTTACTGTCCACTCCAAATATTTATAAAGTTTTATTGTTTAGGTTCTATGTATTTTTTTATTTTCTCCTACCAATAATATAATAACTACATCTTCCTCTCTTTCAAAGCCAAGTACTCTATATAAGTAATGGCTTCCTCACGTCCTTTCAAGTATACAATTACAAATCTATTGTAGATGAGCTAAGAGGTACAGTATTCATAAAATAAGCCAGTTTTGGGATTAGCGTGACAAACCAGAGCAGTTCTCACAATATCCTTATTAAAATCTAAGTCAAATCTGCAATGAAAGAAAAGCCTTTTCACCCCATCTGGATGCTTTCAATGACAAAATAACTCTGAGCCAGTGATTCATCTAGTACCCTCCTAGCACTGTATTAACACATACGCACACAAAGAGAAAATTACTGTTCCTGCTTTTAAGTTTTACTGGAAAACAATCTGTACTTTAACTTTAAGTGTTCACAATTGCTCACCACTGGCCCCACACGTCAAATGGATTGTCAATTTTTTAACTGGCATTTTTTTTCCATTTGCTAAATCTGATATTTACATCATTTTTTATTTCTAATTTAAAAATGTCCCTTAGTTTTTATAGCAATGAGATTAAAATGACTCAAACTCAAGGACATGACATAGGTAAATTTATTTACAATTTTACACGAATGAACCTGAGTGTAAATATATTTTCCTTTAATCAAAAATTCTACCGTATTATAAAGAGGGCGCAAGGGCTATCTAGGTACTTGTGTAGCTCTTATCTTGGCAATACCACTCAAATTATTTAAAAAGAATGATAAACTAAACTGTCTGTCCATTCTGCTCCTAGAGGACTAGACTGAAAGCTAGGAGATTACTTCAAAACCAGTAGATGCAATCATGTTTCTGAAAAAGTAACTGATGAAGCTAAGTCAAACAAATGAAGTTAGTTCCAATGATTTCAAGGTTCTTGGTCAGCATCTGTTGGGTGAGTTCCACAGTTTAGGTCCAAATCCTGTGAAAGTTTGTCTCCAGTGTCACAAGCAGTACAAAATGAATCTCGGGAGTTCCAGTTCACAAGATAAACCATAGTTCAAAATACTGATGCAATTCCAATTCAGCACAATATTTTGAATTGTCTTGTGAACTGGAAATCCTAAAAAATATTTTGTTTCTCACAAATCAACACATGACATTTCCAGAAAAGAAGAGTGCTTCCCAGATGGCAGCCGTTGACTAAAATTTATTCTTATCAATTTAGCCACTGCTATAGCCATAAAATGGACAAGAATGTCAATTTCTATGAGCAGCTGTTAGAGCTCCCAAAGTTTGCAACTTCTGGGGCTGGCTCGCTTGCAGCTAGGTTTGTAGGGCTTTCTGATACTGGAGCAAACTGGCTCCCATAGCTGCTGCTTGGGAGTTAAACAGCACAGAAAGCAGCCAGCCCAGAATGTGGAAGTCTTTGGTGGCCCTAAACAATTGGCATGAAAATAGGACAGTAGAATGTGTAATAAAGTATTTTCCAGAAATATCAAATTCAAACTAGGGATGTAACAGTATAGTTGATTAACTGATAAGCAAAAGCTTATAGGTTAATGCTATAGACTACACACATTTCCCTCTCCCTGCCAGTACATTTTTTAGCAGGCTGGCCATCAGCCTGGCTCAGTTCTGGCTTGCGATGCATCTTGGACCTACCCTTGCTTTGTCTCTGCATTTAAAGTGTATTAGGAGCTGGGCAGGCAGGCAGCTTGGCTCAGTTCCAGTTCATACCGCGTTTGGGAACTCAGACACCCCCTAGATAGGGGCTGCTGCCACCCTGCGCTGCTGCGTCTTTATCAGAGGTAGCAGCACAGGGCGACAGGCAGCTGGTCCGCAAGGGGAGCTGGTTTTTACACTGGCTTCCATTGTGGACTAGCTCCCACCTGGCACACCGCACTGCCTCTGATACAGTAGCTGCCAGCCCCACACCCGGGGAATATAGAATGGTCGACTAACAGATAACATTTCATGAGGTTACTCGATTATTCAATTAACCAATATTTAACATCCCTAATTCAAACCAAAATGGAAGATTAACATTTAGTGTAAAAACATATAACCATAATGTGGGGCTTATTTAGGTTAATTCAGCAGCAGTAAACTGATCAGTGGAGAGCCAATAGTTCTTATAACATTTGCATATTAACTTTACATTTGATTTTGGACAGATGTCATGCAGCCCATCTCTCCTTATGCATTCTCAATGTGTGTGGGCAAAACAGCGACATATTGTGTTAAAAGTCATTCTAATATGCAGTTCCGATGACATTCCTACCTGGACAAAGTTTGCAGCCACAATACGAAGACGGGTTGAAGAGTCTCCTGTTCTAGAAAGTAAATTTGGAAGTGTTCTTTCCACACAATGAGCTGTTTCCAATTTACCTAGCTTATGCTTTGGTATATATTGAGTGATGATCATTTTCAAAAGTTTCAGGGAAGCTTGGAAAACCTGAGTTTAAAAGATTATTAAAACAACAAACAAAAAAATTTGAATTTTCTGTTTCTATGTAATATCCCATAGTCTGTTTTCTAGAATTAATAAAAGCACCAACATTCTAGAATTACCAAAATGTCAAAAGGGAAAGCATGGTAATGGACGTGGCCTCAGGTGTTCTCTCCCCTCTACCCACACTCCTGAAAACATGAGTTAAATCCTAATGTGAAGGGCCAAACAATGCATTCCATTGATTTTCTAGAATACCCAGCAATATCGGGGGAGGAAGGGGGGGGAAGAGCTTTTCCCATCTCCTTAGGCATAGCTGGAGACTATAAAATTTACCCTTCTTCAACCCATTCTGTTTCCTATATCAACCTCATAAAACACTCAAGCCCAATGTCAGTACATATTGCATCAATAGTTACTTTTCTAAGCCCACTACTTAACTTTGGGCTTCTTCAAATTAGGGTTATAAGCGACTAGTCAAGTAGTCAACTACCTATTAAGCTCATAAGGTAGTCAAGTCACTACACAACTAGTCACTCCCCCCCTCCGCCCCCGCCCGCTGTCTCTATCAGAGGCAGCGGGAGGGGGGGGGGGGAGGGGAAGGAGGCAGGAGCCAGTGCTGGGTGGAGCCAACTTAAAAGATGGTTCCCCCCAGTAGTGTCTCCATGGGGGGAGGGGAGTTTCAGGGGAGGCATAGGTGTATCGGGGGACTAGGTATGAGCTGGGACTCAGCTGTCCTGGATTGCACCCAGTCCCAGACGCTGCACCTTTGCTTTGTAAGGAGCCACCCGGCTCTTAATCCATTTAAAAGGCAGAGCCACATCAGGGTTAGCTTCCAGGGCTAGGAGCTAACTCCACTGCCGCTCTGCAGTTTCCCTCCTTACTGACTAATTGAGTAGTCGCCAGAAATTCCATCGACTTCTCGATTAGCTGATTAAATGCAATTTAACATCCTTACTTCAAATGTGAGAAATATTGCCTTTATTTTGCCCAAAACTAGATTAAATGACTTAAGTAAAGGCAGATAGTCTACCTTCCTTTATTCATTCTGAAAAAGTCTGCACAAAGTATTGATTGCAAGAACCAAGATGCCTTAACTACACACTTCAGCTATGCACATTTAACTGTTACTTGTTCCCTAGGGTATTTTATAGAATTAAATTGCTAAATTTAAGATGAATTTTAGGATTCTCAGCTTTCACTCATGTTGTGTGAAGCATTAGAGAATCATTTCAGGGTACATTACCCATAAGATATATTATTTGCTAAATAACCTAAGTTTCTAGTCTAGCATTTAAATTCTTATAAAAAGTTTTATAAAATGTATTTATTGAGCACTGTCACCATTGCTGGTGGTATACAATATACAGACAACCAAAGATGCTCACATTTTACAAACTATTGAAATATTTAGCTCTGCATATTATGCAGTTCCCTAAATTCTGCAGCAATTAAAAACCTGCATGAAATCACATTTTTGTAAAATTGCTCCGATAATTCAGAGCCAAAATTAATACAACAGCATTCCCTTTTAAAGTGTAGATTGTTCAGATATTTAATATGTTTACAATTATTTTCTCCACTAAAAGCCTACATTTACTAGGCTCTGATCCTGAAACTTGTTCCACGTGAGTACAGCCCTGCACAAGGTTAGGCAGGACTGGAGCTTCAATGATGATATTATTATTATCAAACAGTATTACTCACTGAAGACACTATGTCTTTTATAGCTCTTCTTATGAGAAAGACAGCAGCTCTAAGCATATTCTTTAAATCATCCTTAGATGTGCCGGCAGACATTTCCATCAGCTTTTTATATATAGCAAGCAGAGCATCTTCTCGATACGACCAAGTCTTGGAATATGCTCCTGCAACCTGATACAGAGCAAGATTACTGTTAACAAATGGCCAATGCTGGCAACTCAACTCATAATTTAGTGCGACACAGGAAGAAAACTGCAAAGGCAAAATCGGAGTTAAGCTCCCAAATCCATTTAAATTTCAAAGACAGTGAGATTTCTTTCTTTACTTTGCACCCTTGAAAATGTCTCCCATAAAACTGCTTCAAGGAAAAATGAGATTTTATGCCAAAGAAAAAGGGATTAATATCTTAAACCTGTCAAAATCTGGGATAGTTTGTTGAATCACCTATCTACTAATAAATCACCAATCCTTGTGGCACTAGCAGTGAAATTTCCAGCAGAAGACAAATTCTAAAACAGATAATCTGCAAATATTTTATCTCATTCCTGAAAATGGATGGACCAAATCTACATAATTTTATATACACCTAATAGATTTCCCCAACAATAGTTAACCAACTCATTAGCAGCAGAAAGTTAGGTAGGCACCAGAAAATAGGCTGAAAATAAGCACCAGATTTTAATAATAGACATAGCGATACCAAACTTTATATTTGCATTTAATCGTTACATATGTGAAACTATTATCTCATGTTTTGCTCTCAAAGTGAATTCTAAAATGACTCAAGATCTGGATTATAAACGTGCAGAGGTTTATTTTTCCTAGAGTTTACCAAGGCCTCTCCAAAAACTTCAATGGCTGGACTGGCCTCCCTCAGTGCTTTCTCAGTTAATGGTTCTGGTTCCCCAGTGATGCCACTTCTTGGAGTATCACTGATATCTTCTTCATTCATCTCTGGCTCAAGGTAAGCAAATCCTTCCTCATGATGTTTACGAATAGCTGGGAGAGGTCTCTCATCATAAGGCAGAAATTCAACCTAATGGAGAAGGCAAGCAAAGTAATTCTAAATGTGACTGAGATCTGATGTTCTTCCATCGCTACTTTGATTCATTTCAACACAATCTATCCAGACTTTTCTCCAGAGTTGTATCTCCTGCATTTTACATGCAGATTTGGACATGCTCATTTTTTATCCTGTTACTATGACAACAGTGTTTTCAGAATGGAAGTCAGTACAAAGGATATATTTTATGACATTAAGCAGATAAGAAAAAGATTAAAAACATTATGGAGTTCCATTTATAGCCTCTCTCCAGATATGAAGTCAACATAGACAGTTTACATTATTTAACTCCAGCATACTGTAAAGAGATTATTGCTGCTCTTAGGGTCCAATCCAACTCCTACGGAAATCAATGGGAGTCTCTGCTGGCATCAGTGGAAGTTGGGCTGGCCTATTTGGTCATGTCTAAGCCTCAGTTAAGACACCTTGAGGTCATGGGTGTCATCTGACTTGAGCTTAGGGGGCTCGGGCTAAGAGGCTGTTTAACTGAAGTGCAGATGTTCCATCTCAGGCTGCAGTCTGAGCACTGGGACAATTCCACTTCACAGGATCCTAGCCTGAGCCTGGCTGCCTATACTGCAATTAAACAGCCTTGCAATCCAAGCCAGCTGAAATGATGTAGACCACATTGTTTTATAATGTTTTATGTAATGTGCTTAATGGATAAACAATATCACATACATTTGTCTTTGGAAAACCATCTACAGAGACTGGTGGTGGGGCTACAGGAGAAGCAGAGTGTTCAGGAATAACAGGTTCAGGAAAAGTTGTCTCAGGTGACTTTTCTTGTGGAAAAGGCTCTATCTTCTGTGCTTCTGCTTTCTCATGCTGGGATAACTGCATGGGTTTCTTTTGCCGAGGACTAACTGAATAAACCAAAGGCTCAAGGGGCAATTCAGGAGGTCTTCGGATCTGAGAAAAGAAAGAGTAATTTTGTAATATACAATTTCTGTACATTGCTTCAAAACAAAATGCTGGAAGTGAAGTTCAGCTACCACTATTACATCAGCTGCCTATGAATAAACACTTACAAGTTAGCTCTGAAATCCTGGCTCTAATGCAGGTGTCTGCCTTAAAAGCAAAGCAACCCAGGAGAGAAAACAACAGATTATGAGCAGCCTCACCTAACTGGCAAATAATGCTTTCCAGGTATAATATAAAGTTACAAATACACCTCTGGGTCAATATTCCCTTTCAATTTTCCCATACATGTGCAGAGTGAAGTTTGTTACATGCACCAAATATGGAGATGATGTATGGCAGTAATATGAAGATTTAACAAAAATATTCTATGACAGTTCCTATTCCTTGAGTTTATTTTAGTTTCTCAGGCACACTTCTATTTATAATGCCAATTGATAAAGCCTGATTAGTCAAACCACCATGTATTTATTTTTATATTATGACTAGTAAAACTTACCATAAGATCTGGATCCAGAAGGTTGTGCAGTTCCAGTTGCTGATATACCTTCAGGCGATACTCTTCCATCTGCTGTTTCTTCTGCTTTGCAAGATCATAATCTTCCTTCTCTACAGCACAGCGCTTTTCTACCTCATACCGTCCGAGTCGTTCCCCAACCTGAAAAATAAGGTTTGTGTGACATGCAGGTTGCTGGAAATCACATTTTTAAAATGTATATAGAATTCTAGCTATAAAACTCAATTGTATGACTTTTCATTTGTTATTTTTAAACACAAGAACAGCCATACTGGGTGAACTGAACTGAACATAAGAACAGCCAGACTGGGTCAGACAAACGGTCCATCTAGCCCAGTGTCCTGTCTGCCGATAGTGGCCAATGCCAGGTGCCCCAGAGGGAGTGAACAGAACAGGGAATCATCAAATGATCCCTCTACTGTCATCCATTCCCAGCCTCTGACAAACAGAGACTAGAGACACCATTCCTACCCATCCTGGTTAATAGCCATTGACGGACCTAACCTCCATGAATTTATCTAGTTCTTTTTTGAACCCTGTTAAAGTCCTAGTCTTCACAACATCCTCTGGCAATGAGTTTCACAGGTTGACTTTGCACTGAGTGAAGAAAAACTTCCTTTTGTTTATTTTAAACCTGTTACCTATTAACTTCATTTGGTGATCTCTAGTTCTTATGTTTTGGGAACAAGTAAATAACTTTTCCTTATTCACTTTTTCTACATCAGTCATAATTTTATAGACCTCTATCATATCCCCCCTTAGTCTCCTCTTTTCTAAGATGAAAAGTCCCAGTCTTTTTAATCTCTTTTCATATGGCACCTGTTCCAAACACCTAATAGTTTTTGCTGCCCTTTTCTGAACCTTTTCCAATGCCAAGATGTCTATTTTGAAATGAGGCAACCATATCTGTACACAGTATTTAAGATGTGGACCTGCCAGTTTTATACAGAGGCAATAAAATATTCTCTGTCTTATTCTCTATACCCTTTTTAATGATTCCTAACTGCAGCCACTACAAATGCATTTTACTGCAAAAACTGAGGAACACCTTATGGACAAATGAAAAGCTCATGGATCTGTGACACAACAGTCATTAAACAGTACCTTTTGCAAGTCAGCAATAGCTTGTTTGAGTTTCTTGGCATAGTCGTAACGTTCATGACGAACAGCTTCATGCTTTCTCTCATCCAGTTTACGAATTATCTGAGCAACTTCTGGATCCTGGTACATATCAAAAGCCAAATCATCCAGTGGTGAAATGGAGTCAGGCTTTCTGGAGGAAAAAATTAGATAATTTTGAGGTTAATCTGAAGCAGCAGCTACAATATATTCCGTCTCTTTTTGCTGCCAGCAAATTGATATATATTAAGATGACAATTATTTTTCTTCATTCTTCAATATATTGTGGCTCTCACTTATTTTAAATGGGTTCCAAGTCAAATTTAATTTGAAATAGAAGTTTATATCTTGCAAAAGTTATTTCTTCTATTGGTTTTAATAATAATTATCCAAAATGTATATTTTCCATTTTACTCTACACTGAAGATTAGGGGATGGGTTATCTCCTAACTCAATGTTCTAGACCTACTACCTCCTCAGATGTTGATCAGTTTTCAGTGACATCTATATGATTACATCATCACACTTTGGTCATTGAGGATTTTTCTAAGGAAGAAGAGCAGATGTCTCTTATAATGTCTCTTACGTTTAATCTTTAACGGCTTTAAAGATTCAGAGTACTAGCGAACAGCTAATTATTATACTCCTATTTTCATCATTCGTCAAATACTTTTCCTCACAGCCCAGATCCACTTTAAGGGGCTTTTTCCTTCAAATGAGGTACACTTGAAAATACTACCTCTAGTACTAGAGAATGTGGATATGACTGCTGTGACTTTAGTAAGTAAATAATCTGATCAATGGCTTTATAAAATTGTCTTTTATTCAAAAGAACATGTTCCCTACAAGGGAAATTAATCACTAAAACAGACCACCAAGGAATATGTTAGATTCACCATCATTCAAGTCTGTAAATGATGACGAAATCTTTCTAAAAATATATTTTCTAGACCAACCACAAGATAAGGGTTTGATAGAATCTCACCCAGTAATTTTTGTAAGGGCCATGGTACACAGTTCAGACGAGAATCCTAGATGATCACGATGGTTCCTTCTGATCTTCAAAATATATAAATTTATGACTGAGAATAACCATTTCTTTTTAAGTGAGATGCTAAAATTTTAAAAATGAACAAAGAAAAATGATCCAGAAAAATAAGATTCTTGAAAACTAGAAGATTGAGTTATTTTGATAGTCTTTTTGTGTACTAGGCACGCTATATGACAACCTATAGTTATCACACAAGTAATTCAATAATCTTTTGATTATGCTAAGACTGGAACCATTGGATCAGAATAAGTAGGAAGTATTACAGGCCAAAACATCAAAATCCTATGCAGTGGACATGGATATCCATATATCAACACATGTAAAAACCATCATGTGTGTAAATTAAGTAACTACAGTTTGCATGCAATAAATGTTGTCAGTTATTTGATCTGCATGCGCAAAATAGCACAATTTGCATTGCTGTAGTAGAGGTCTGAAAATCTACAATTACTCAGCCTAAAAGAGAAACAGGGGGCTGGTGGCTTGCTACAATAATGTCAGTAGGAGATGAACTCAGTAAGAGGTCAAAATCAGAGCTCTAGATAGCTCCTGGAGAGTACAGGCTAGTATGTTAGTCAAACTACCCTCCTTGTCTGTCAGCTGACAGAAGAACTACTACTGTCCAAATATGCAGTGATGCCACATTAGCTGACTCCTTAGCTGCTAGCATACATGTTGTGATGGCAACCAAATTATAAATGTTAAAGAAGAAAATAGGATGAATGGTAGTTAACGTTGGGCTGGCTAACAAGATGCCAAGAAGAATAACTAGTGCTATCAAATCTGTAACAACCACTTGGGTTCAAATTTGGTATTTAAGGAATAACATTTCTGAGAAATAAGACACATAAGTGGCTGACGACAAATAAGACCCAACAGAATGTAACTGCACTGTGTTCATTCACTAAGCAAGAAATCCAACAATAATCGGCACAATTTACAGCTTAGAAATTACAAAGTTCCGGTACCCAAACTGTTTTTAATTATAGCTCATCAGGTTACCAGTTTTAACTCCTCTACTACAAATGTCAACAGAGAAATCTTACCCAAGGTATGTTCCATCTAAAGCTAGGTCATCTGGACTGTTCCCAAGGTAATGGTCAATCAGCTTCTCTCTTGAAGGCTTTGGAAGAAAAACGTTAATGTAATGTCTCCAATTTTTGATTGAACAGATTAAAAACTATAAATACAAACAATTAAAATTGAACAGGAGACATCATGTTATGCCTTTTCCAATATGCCTCTATTTTTAGACTAATAACTAAGCAGAATTAATAGCATCTTCACTCAAACTAACTATGAAGAGGTCTCTCAATATTAGTAGTGTTTTTACCTTACTGCTGACAAAATACTACAGTAAAACTCCATTGGTCCGGCACTCCTGATGGTCCGGCACCATCAGGAACCCAGAAGTGGTCCGGGCAGCCAGACCATTGGAGCTGCTCTGCCCCCAGCTTCCCCGATTCAGCCGCTGCTGAAACTGACCAGTGGCTGACTGGGAAGCCCGGGGCAGAACACCCGGGGGGCTGCGGGGTGGGCCCCCCGT